AGTGTGGGCAGGTCTTGCTCATGAGAGGGAAAGCAGGGGATACTGATCACATGACAGATCCAAGGTGCCAGGATTACAGGACTGAAATAGACAGAGGATTATAGTTTTACACACACAGGGTGAATACTGAAAAGTAGAGACTTGGGGCTGCAACTGGGCAAATGTAAGCCTATCTTATTGGCAATTCTAAGGAGGCTGATAGGATATTTTCTATCTCTGTCTTACATTTGTTTTCTCTATCTGCTTACCCCAGATGTCACCAAGCATCTGCTATATCCCATAGCTGGCAACTGATACATGGGTTCTGAGAATATATTGATGCAGGGCTAAATTTGGTAGATTTGGGGGGGGGCCTCGGATATTCTTGTATATACTATTGACTTTCACACCCTTCACAAAGTAGGACACATGAGGGCCTTGACATTGGATAAATCCAACCCCCTTGTTGCGTTGGGAAGCACGCCCATTCTGGGTAGATGACAGGCAGGCCCTCGAGAGCAGCTGCTTCTAGGAGACATTGGGGCTCCAGTTAGGCAGATCTCTGAGATGATGGAAACTAAAGGCCTTTTTTTTTATTTTTAAAAATTTTAATTTGCAAAAGCAATGGCATCACTCTGGCTTTAAACTTTCATTTCTTTCCTAGAAATTAATCAGGGAGAGAGGATCCAGGACGCTGAAGTTCAGGGTATTTTTAGGTTGCCTGGATTGTTGTGCTTGTGGTATTTTTATGCTGTCATGTGGTGTTTGTGGTACTACTTTCCCTGTCGAAGTTATATTGGACAGTGTGGCTTGAAACTTGAGATGGGAAGTACAATCGGGGTGAATTTTTGACTCAGGGTGCAGTGGGGGGACTTGGCAGGGATTTTGACCGAAGATGGTATTGGCCATTTCAGAGGCTTCTGGAAACAACAGCTGGACCGCCCACCCCATAGTCCTTGGAGTGAAGACAGCCAGGGCTGCAAGTGACGAGACCAGAGCTCCTTCCTCTGCTGATCTCCACTGCTTAAAATACAAAACTCCACCTGCCACTTTGACTCAGTGGCCTCTATAGGCAAGACCCGGGTGGGATTTAGGGCAGAGGCCTAATCCTACCTGCCTGCTAGTCTATAGCATAGACGCTTCCCTTACCTGCCATCTGAACTCTTATCTACAATAAACCACCAGAAAACCGGAAGTGGCACTGTGGCTCAAGTGGTAGAGTACTCACCTTGAGCTGAAGAGCTGAGGGATAGTGCCCAGGCCCAGAGTTCAAGCCCTAGGACCGACCAAAAAAATAAAACCCCGTTGTCTGTCTGTAGCTGGGAAATCCAGTCTGTAATAGGGAATGCTTAGATTGTTGGAGCCTCATTAGGATAAAACCCTGTAAGAGAGACCTGGGGTAGCCTGATGTAGACACATTCTTTAATTAGGGACTGTGAGCTGGACAGAGTATTGCACTGAACAGGACCAAGCCCAGCTGTCTCCAGAGAAGAGAAACCAATACTCCTGTGATAGCTCTGCATAAGCTTTGAGATCTATGATGAAGCCCCATCACCAAGCCCAGGTCCCTCAAAGACTTTGGAGTGCCAGTGTGTCACTCAGTGGGTGAGGACTCTTCCAGCCTCCCCTTGGGCACATTCTCTGGGTCCTTGTGATACAGAGCTGTCTGCTCTATAAGTCCACATTTCCCTCACAGACACGCAATGCCAAGCAAAAGTCCTCTGTCTTCATTGTAAGTCCTGCCTCTGGATGGTTCTCCGTACCTCTCCTAAGCTGTACATCCTTCTACTTGCTTTGGCTTCATTCAGGGATAGCAGCGTAGGTACAACACCTCTAAATAAATGGAGTACACACCACTGCTAGGGCTTGCCTGCGACTCACAGATCTCCCAGGATATAGACTCTGAAGTACTATCTCTGCAAAAGTTTGGGGGAAAACTAAAAAAATGTTTTAGTCACTTTCCCTGGTGCTCTGGTTCTCTCAGGACCCTAGTGGCTATGATTTGTGACTTGATGAGGATTCTCTAATTTCTCTGACACCATCCTTTCGACCCTCTTGCCTTCTCCACCTGCCAGCAGCATTCTGGGTAACGGAAGTGTGGGAAGAAATATCTAGTGTGAAATTCAGATAATAGATAATTAAACAGTTTATCTCTTCCATGTGTTCCGGTGGGAGAGAAAAAGCCTCTGAGATACTAGTGGTTTCTGTTGTCAATTGAGGTCTTGCCTTAGTATTCCTGTTGTGCTTAGAAGTTGGCTATGTTTTCTGCAAGACTGGCATGTCCTTCTCATTTGAAATTTATGCCAAACATTTGGAGACTAGTTAGGGAGCTGTGTCATTTCCTCAGTTTCTTTGGTTTCCATGGAGTTCTTAGGTAGCCAAGTACCAAAATTCCTAGGATGTTTTGGTTATTGTGTTTTGGAGTGTGTGGTTACATGAGTCTGATCTGAACCCACAGTGCCTACAGCCATATGGAGCCTTACCACTGGGTAACCATGTGACCCAACCAGGCAGCCAAGATGTAGTTTATAGGGTCTGCTGGGAGGGTCACGTGGCAAGCCTGTGCCTCTGCAATTGGTTGGCTTCAAGCAGTGGTCTGATAGCATCAACTCCAGGACAGAGGTAATCTGTTTGCAATTCCAAACTCATTATTTCGTTATTTGTATTCAATATGACAAAGGTACTTGTGAACAACACATTTTAAAAAACATCATTACTATCAAATTTGTTAAGCCAAGTGTAAACATTTTATTGGCAATAAGATCTGAAGACTGGGTTTTTTTCCCTTCTTCTTCCTTTTTGGTTTTTAAAACTAGAACTTTATTTCACAGCTGCCAGGCTCCTGGGTTGGGTCACAAGTTAATAATGTCTCTTCCTTGGTATGAAATTGGGCTGTTGCTGCCTGTTGCTCAAATTAGGTCATGGCGAGCTTTTCATTGCTTATGGTTGAAACGAGGGGATAGTACATCTTCATTATGAAGCTTTCGTTTTTACTTTATCTTGCACCATCAAGTATAATCAGAGGATCAGGAGGGCCTGTGTTCCTTGGAAGGAGATTTCAGGCACAAAACAACAGCAAAAAAGGTTTGGTTTGTCTCGTGGGGGTTGGGGAAGGGGGTGAGGGGAGGGAGGGGTGGAAACCTTGTGCATCTTCAGGGGAGATGGTTCAGCATAAATGCTACCCAGACATGTTCTTGAAAGACCTTTGTAAGAGTGGGAGTGGATTTCTCTTTGACTTCCAACTAGAATCTAGCATCCTAGAACTTAAGTGGCTTTTGCTTTGGGATTTTTCTGATGTTACAGCTTTAAAATTAAGATAAACAAGTTTAGGATTCAGAATGGTGGCTACCTCTTCCTAGGCAGATCACCACCAAATGAACTTGAGTCCCCGTGGATTATTTCCAGATTGGGGGGGGGGGGAGGAATCATGAAGGAGTAATGGTGTCCTTTAGATTCATCAGAAGCTGAATTGTAGCCACATCTTGCTGTGTGACTTCAGAGTAGTTACTTGGCCCTCTGATTTGTTTTTCTTTTCTCTCTCAAATGAAAATGCATTTCACCTTAGTCATGAAAGACACTCATGATTCATACTTCAATTTCAACAGCAGCTGTTTACCACTGTCTCTCAAGCTGCAATCTCTTCTCTGTCTCCTCTTCCTTCCTTCTCTCTTCTTCCTCTTCCCCTTCTTCTCCCTTGTCCTGTATATTTTCAACACTTAAAGAATGCATGATCCTGAATTTAGTCACATACTGTGTTTGGTGTGTCATTTTGGGTCAAGTGTTGGGGATGCACACATGATATATATTGTGTACCTATGTAAACACAGAAACACACAGCCACAAAAGGAAAAGATCATCCTGGTATGGCCAAGACTCAGTTTTTTCCTCCATTGGGAGTAGTCCCATGACTGATAGAGAACAAGGGTTTGGATTCTGGGCAAAGCAGGAAGGTCTCCAACCCTACCCACCATCCCATGTTCCTTCACTCTCTGTAACCCAGGACACATCTTCCTTGGATATTATACCACAGTGTCACAGGATAGATGTCACCTTTAATGACCTGCAGCTACCCCTAGGGGGGAGTTGTACCCTTCCCCTTCCCCCTCTTCCAGACCTCAGTGCCATTTTGCATTTGTTCTTCTCAAAGTAGGGTCTTGCTTTATTCATGGGCTAGCCTGGACTGTGATCCTTATACTTGTGCTTCCCTGCATTGCTGGGGATGACCGAAGTGTACCATCACATTCAGCCCATTGGTCTCAGCCATGGAGCCTCATGAATGTTTTTGTGCTTGAGTTAGCCTCAAAACCTGATTCTCTTGTCTCTGCTTCCCACGTGGCTGTGCTTAGGGGTCTGAGCCTCCATACCTGGATTTACTCAGGTTGTTAATTGTATGTGAAATGACTCAATTTTTATCTCACCTCTCAATTTTTGTTCCAGCAACTAAATAACTTCAATTCATACCATGTGCTATGACATTATTTGGCTTTCATGTTGCATATTGTGTTTATGCACAGGATTCAAGTATGTTCTTTTCTCTTTGGCTTTGAGTATCTAAAACAGTGTTTTTGGCACCATCACAATGATGAAGATGAGCACAACATAGGCAAAGAGATGGCCTAGGAATTCACAAACTTTATAGACCATGATAATGACAGTTTGCCTTGTGAAGGTTAAAAATGTGTTTGTGACTTTAAGTAGTACTATTCCGTAACACTGTGAAATATGTGAAATTTATGTAATCACCTAATCTCAATTTAAAAGAAAAGAAGAGAAAAGAAGTGAGAGAAGGGATGGGTTAGGAGCGATGGGTGACAATGTTGTCAGATACCTGGTATTCATATACTGTTTTGTAGAATGGGAACTTCTTTGTACAACTTCTTGAAGATAATAATAAAAAAGAGATGGCCTAGGGCAGCCATCTTAGTATTTGGGGAAGTACTTATGTTAATTCTTAGATGATCACGGAAGTAAAAAACACTACTGTGAAAAATTACCCAGTTGAGCCTTTGTAAACAGCAAATATGGCAGTTATTGAAGTAGCTCAGCTGTGGAACCCAAGTACCTCTGTTCTGTAGGTCTACTTTTACCCTAGATCTCCTCCCCTGCTCTTAGCCTTCCCCTACCTCCACTGATTCTCCTGAATTTCCATGACCCCTGTGACCCCTTCTCCCTCCCTCCCCAGGCCTCAGCCTGCACTAGTCATTTTCTTCATTCTCAAACACCAGGTGACACAACAACTGAGTGTCTCTTCCTGAGAGACAAGAATCCCCTGTGAGACAGATAAACTATAACCTTCATGTAGCAATTTTTTTCTTCTTTCAGTAAGAGATAAGGGGTGATAGATAAGGGGTATGAGAGTTGAGGGGGAGAGAGAGAGAAAGAGGAGAGGAGGAGGGGAGGGGAAGAGAAAGAAGAGGAAGAAGAAAGAAGGGAAGAGGTAGGAAGGGAAGGAAGGGAAAAGGAAGGGAAAGCAGCTATTAACATAGTCACCATTTATGCTACGAACTCTAAGTACCACCTTTTCCTTAAGAGTCATTTAAATTTCCCCTTTATGTTTATGATATAGATTTACCATCATCAACATCATCATCACCATCACCTCTGTCACCAACATCTTCACCGTCAGCACTGTCATTGATCACTGTCATCATTTCAGAGAGAAGAGAAGAGACAAAAAGTAAGTCCACCCATCTGGCTAAATTCTAGGATTGCTCTAAAATAAAGGATTTCCAGGTAAGTTCCAATTGCAGGGAAACAGCAAATGATTTTTTACGGAAAGCATGTCTTCATTATTGCATAGGAATACTGAGAAGTTGCTCCTTATCTTCAATTTAAATTTAACTTTGGGTGATACATTTTTGCTTGCTAAGCCCCATGATCATATTCCACTGAGGCAGAGGGAGGATTAGAGCTGAGTTTCTATCCTTGCCACTCTACCACATGAAATGTGTCAAGTGTTCCTCCCAGCACACAAGTTTTTGGATTTTATCTAAAAACAACTTAACTTTTTGCCTGGTTCTGAATCTGTTTATGCTTTCTGCTTGCTTTGTGTCATTTGTGAAAATTTTTTTTTCTTAGAAAGCCATCCATTGTATCAAAATTTTGGGAACAGTTGGCAGAATACATTGTCCTCAATTTTTCAAATCTTTGTATTTGTGGTTTTATCTTTTTATTATTCCTGATGGGGTTTACCACCTTATCTCTTTTCAAAAGTATCCCCTTTTCATTGCTTTTGAAGAACAAACTTTTATTTACAACCAAAGGGTTTTCTAATTCAATATTTTCTGCTTTTATCTTTATTATTTCTTTCTATTGATCTTAGCCAAAAGGCTAAGAAACAATAAAATCCCACTTTTGATTTTTTCTTTAATTTAGATTATTTAGAGTTTACAAATTTCCAAGTCAGACTGCTCTTCTCTCTCTCTCTCTTTTTCTTTTTAGATAGGGTCTTGCTAACTCTTTTGCCCAAGCTGACTTGGAATTACAACTCTCCTATATCAATATCTTGACTAGCTAGAATTACAGACATATGCAGTCATACTTGGCTTACTGTTTTTTTTTTTTTTTGTGGAAAATGTTTTTGTTGATATTTTCTAGATATATTGTATGACTTCTGTTTGTTTTAGAAGTGATACATTTTCTTTGTGCCCTAATACATGGGCAAAGTTCTAAGGATGCATGAAAAGAGTGTCCATGTTCTCTGTGTCTGAAGCAATGTGTGTACATGTGTATATTATTCTACCTATGAAGTAACAAGTATGTGCATATATTATCCCAAGTCCTTCATGGCTTTACTTCATATTTGCCATGGAACTGGAGCTCACCATGTTGGGTGAGACAAGATAAGCACAAAAAGCCAAATATTGGTCGCACTTATTTGTGAAAGTTAGACCTAAAATGATCATGATAATTGTGATGTTGATAATGATGTTAATAATAGTAGGGCATGAATGTAAAAGGTGACTGTCTAGGGGCAATCAGCAGGAGTGGGAAGGGGGAAAGAAAAAGATACAGACAGCTGAGCACTGGTGGCTCATGCCTGTAATACTAGTTACTCAGGAAGCTGAGATCTGAGAATCACAGGAAACTCTTATCTCCAATAAACCACTAGAAAACCGGAAGTGGCACTGTGGCTCAAGTGGTAGAGCGCTCACCTTGAGCTGAAGAGCACAAGGACAGTGCCCAGGCCCAGAGCTCAAGCCCCATGACCACTACCACCACCACCACCACTACCACCACACCATCAACAACAAGAAAATACAGAGAGTAGAGAGAACTGAAAGACAACTCCCCCTCCACAGTAAGGTAGCATATTGAAACCCACCAAATATCGTTCACTGTTTGAAAAAGCAATATTATAAGATGGAGGGTGAATTTGTTCAATGTATACTATAGGTGTCTACGAAACTATCATAATGAAACCCCTTTGTATTATTAGCATAGGCTAATTTTATAACAAATAAAGGATGAAAATGTAAATGTAAAGCTTTCATGACCTCAGACTAGGCAATAATTTCTTAGTTATGATACCAAAAGCACAAGTAACCAGACAAACAAACGATTGAAAAATCCTGAAACACAATTAAGAGAATAAGAACATGAACTTGAATCTGAGGGATGGGAGAAGGTGAGCCTGTGTAGTTTCTTAAGCAAGGCAAAAGCATGGCTGGACCTGTGTTTTATGTACCTCCCAGAGGTATCTGGGTGAGCACCCAGACTGGCTGATGAGCGATGAACTACAGAAATGAGGCAGGTGTGATACAGAACCTAGCCTTGGCAAGGTAGGCAAAGGTGATGGAATTTGTGATGGATAGAGCTTTCAGGTATAGGCATATGTGTAAAGCCATAATGGGTTCATTTTCTGATGATTCAGAGTCTGAAGGCCACAGGAAACTTCTGTCTACACCTTTCCTTCTTGTGACTGTAAAGTATATTAAATAGGAAATAGGTAGGTTTCATTAGGTAGCCAATGAAAAGAACACCATGCGCTATTCAGCAGGAGAATTTTATTTACCGAACTGCTGTCCCCGCTGTGCGCGGTGGAGAGACATGGCTGAAAAGAAAGGGGCGACCCACCCCTGGGCCAGGACTTTTTGGGACAGGAAGAGGTGTGGCCACACTGGATCCAGACATGACCTCAGGGTCTGGGACCCTCCTAAGGTCAGATGGGCAGCATGTGACCAGAGGTGACCCAGGATGTGACCTAGCAGGAGGGGAAGGTGACTGCTTCCAGGTGTGCCAGTTACCTAGGTAACAGATACTGGGCAGAAACTTAGCGACGAGGTAGAGAGGTGTCCCTGTGCAGACCCCACAGTGACTATGTTTAGAGACCTTAATTCTAAATTACTTTGAGATTGTGGCTTTTTTTTTTTAATTTCCTTGTCATAATTATCTGGAATCCACATTAGCTACTTGATGACAGGGAACCCTGGCCCAGGGATTGCAGTGTGTGAAATGAAGCATCACTGAGTTGTATTGAAATCTGGGCGTCGCTAATGTGTGTGTGTGTCCCTGACATTTCTGTAGGATCAAATCAGATCCTGTCACATTGACAAGAGCGGGGTCCAGAGGCAGTGTGTTATCATCGCCTAACATAGTGTTCCTTAATCATCGGCACCCTCATGCTTCCTGCAGAGCAGATTGAGCTTGCTAGAAATAGCACGAAGTTGAAAATTAGCGTCTTTCTCTTAAATAATCAGCGTGTGATATTTATAGTTTTTGTGAACTCTCGGCATCTTAACGAAGGTAAACTAATTTCACAGTTAGAGGTGAGGTAGCTTCACCCCCTCCCCACCTTTACGGTGTGACTCCCCCCCCATCTTTTAGTGTCTTTTTTGGGTGTCTCAAATTTTCCATAGCATGAATAATTCTCTTCATTGCCCCTCTCCTCAGAGGTGTTTTCTGCACTTAGTGTGGCCCTGTGATAATTTACCATGTTTGCAAGGATTTGTGGATAAAATAAAATATTTGCTTTTCTTTACAGTTACTCACCAGACTGTGACATTGGCAAACTTGATCTATATAAATTAGCCAATCTTAAAACTCGAGCAAATGTCCAGATTCCTTGTCTAGATCACTGAGGTTATTTTGTTTATTTATTTATATTTTTGTCAGTTGTGGGGCTTGAACTCTGGGCCTGGGCACTGTCCTACAGCTCTTCAGCTCAAGGCGAGTGCTCTCACAGAACCACTTCAAGTTTTCTGGTGGTTTATTGGAGATAAGAGTCTCACAGACTTTCCTGCCCAGGCTGACTTTGAATGGTGATCCTCAGATCTCAGCCTCTTGGGTATCTAGGATGACAGGCACAAGCCATCCGCTCCTGGCTACTTTATTTTTTAATCTTATGTAAGTACTAGTGCTTGAACTCAGGGCCTGGGCACTATCCCTTAGCTTTTTCACTCAAGGCTTGCACTCTGCCATTTGAGTCCCAGCTCCACTGTTAAGAGGAAAAGAGACACACTAAAACAGGGTCTAATAGAGGGATAGAACCTTGGGACAGAAGGGAAGTCTGTGAGGTCAGTGTTTGGGGGTCCCTTCTCCATCTAGTCTTCTTTCTTGAACCTACCTCATCTTGTATCTTGGGCATGATGGCTAAATATGTTCTGGGGAGTCCTATGTAGGCCTGTCTCTCAGTAATGGATCTCTGCTGTAGAATAACCCCTCTCCCTCATTTCCTTACCCATTAAAGTTGCCATCTTGCACTTAGGTTGTTATTGTCCTTCTTAAGAAGAAAGCAAACGTTTGGAGGTAATTAATTCTCCATGGTAAAGTACTGGGTGGCTAGCCTACTAGTGCATCCCAAACTATGGGGATTTCAGGAACACTGAGAGGAGAACTAGAGGATTTTCAGCTCCAGGAACAGCAAGGTAGGCAGGGGCTTGCACGCATTCCTGGAGCTATAGAAGCCCTCAGCTGTGTGGCGCCTGAGCCAGCCTTGGGAGAATGCTGAGCGTGCACTGCCAGCACTGCTTGTCATGTGCTCAGATGTTACACTGGTGCATGAAGCAGTACAATGAATGATAGGCTCTTTCTGGCAAAGACATTGTAAACTCCAGGGAATGGAGTTTAGCTAATACATCTTTACTGTTACAGCACTGGAGCTGTATATAGTGTTTGCCTATTGTGCATCTACCACCAGTAGAAAGGAAGAGAGAGACAGGTAGAAAGGTAGAAGAGATAGAGGGAGAAAAAAGAGGAAGGAGTAAGAGAAGAGCGGGGAGAGAGAGAAAAAGAAGTGGGAGAAGAGGAAGGGAAGAGGGGAGTGAGGGGGATGAGACAAAAAGGGAAGGAAGGAGAGAGAGAACAGGGATGTCTTTAGGACAGGAAGAGTATACAGTATATAGAAGTATATGTAGAGTGTATAGAAGTAGTTTTAGCTTAAAAATGGTCATAAAAGATTGAAAAACACATAAGAAACAAGAAGTATGGAATAAAAAAAAGTTTAGAATTCTAGGCTTTTAGGACTAGGAATTTAGAACCTTTAGAAGGGCCTAGGTGAAATTTTAGAGGGCACTAAATGATAAACAGTATACTTGATAGAGACATAATAAGCATGACCTTATGGCATAAGTAACATGCTATAGAGAGACAATTCCAGGGAGAAATGGACAATCCCATTCTCTCCTGAGACTTGTTTATACAGAAAGCAAAAACTAGCAGATTTGTGAGCTCCATGAG